ACAAAAGGCAAACAACAGGAGCTCTATGCCATAGTTCAGGGGGATAGGCGCTAAATTTAATCTAAATCCATTGTTTATTTGGCCGCCTCTGCGATCTAGTGGTCAGAGTTCCTGGCTACAGAATCAGAGGTCCGGGTTCGGTTTCCGGCGCTATCAGATTTTTTGAGTAGTGGATCTGGAACGGGGTCCACTCAGACTTGTGAGGATAATTGAGGAGCTATTTCAAGGAAATAGCGGCTCCAGTCTAGAAAACCGAAATTAACGGCCGTGGGGATCCGTTGCGCTGACCACGCGATACCCTCTATCCGCTAATGTTGGCACTAACTTCGCCGACAAGTGGCGGTCGCTTGGCCGGTATAGTTAGCTTGCGGACTGAAACCACGGAGTTTAATTTGTTTATTTTTCCCCCCTTGGCACTACAGCACCAGTGGGCCTAGGCCTACCTCCATGAACTCCGTTCACTTCGGGTTTTCTAGATCTTACACATTCGGTAGGACTCCTTGGGCGGGTGATCAGCTCGTCGCAAGGCCTCTACCTGTACACAAACACAGGAAAACGCACACAAACATCCATGCCCCGAGTGGGATTCGAACCCACGATCCGGCTTCCGAGCGAGCGAAGACAGTGCATGCCTTAGACTGCTCGGCTACCGTGACCGGCAATTTGTTTATTTGGAGATTAATTATGCGGATTAACGGACAAATGAACAAGACCTCCCATGTTAAGCATTAATTTTATAAACTATGTAAGAAATGTATATAAAAATTCGGAAATGCACAGAGCGGAATGAATTGGCAGCTGAACATAGAGTGAGGTCAGTTATTTCGGAATGTCAAGCTTAATTATGTACATGTAGAGAGTTATCTACAGAGGAGAAAGCTGAGGTCGTGTGTGCACTTAGCCGATGAATATATTTTCCGACAGCAAGAATAATTCAAGGAGGGTTCATATTTGTGATCTTGTCGTTGCTATCCCTAAATTTAATCCTCCATTATTCTATAACGAATTAGCCAAATACTGAAAATTGATTCGCCCTGATTTTGGCTCTAGGTGAACGAAATATACGCTTTATTCTCTCTTCGCCTGTAACAAAATTATCGCTCAAAAGTTATTTCTGAGATGTTTATTCCAATTTACAAAACTCTAATGAAAAATATGAGATGAATGTATCAAATCAGAAGCAGAAGAGACGAAATGTATCTAATTCTCTGCATAATAATTGTTGGAAATTTATAATCGTGCGAGCAGACTAAGATCCATATTTTATGTGCTTGGCATGTGACACTTCTTGCAAGCTGACTGTGATACAGTGGGTAAATTGTATAACTGATCAATAAATATTTCGGGCAAGAGAGCATTAAAATTAAAGGCAGAATATATGTTCAAATTCCTTACTGAAAAGTAGGTTAAGAAGAAAAAACTTCTATAAATAGTAACAAACCAAAACGAATATCTGAAATTGATTATATATTTTTACACCTTCCTTACTACGTCTTGTAAGGAGAAGGACAAAGCTGCCACTTTGTTGGGTATTTATATCTGATACACAATTATATTGAAGCGAAACTTGAGCATAGAAGAAAAATTAGTAAATTTAAGATATGAAAATAAATGTTTTTATTTAATTATTTAGATTTAATTTTAAAAGTATAACACAATGTGAGTGACACCTATGTGCGTTTGGATAGCTATAATTTCAGGTATATTCGTGTTACGATATTTGTCTGTTATTTTTAGGCACTGGTCGCTCCATTTTTTCTTCCCTGACCCAATTTTCCGATTACTTGCACAAGCATTAAACTCGCCATTCATCAGCACGTGATGAGTAAGGTAGGTTGGTCACAAGGAATGCAGGTTCTGATTCGGTTGACTTCAATGACGACACTGGCAATGTAAATGCTATAAAGTGCCGATACACACAAAGCAATTATCTCCAACAAAAATTCGGGTAATGAGAGCCATTGGCACTAAGAAGTTTCATATTTTATTGGGCGATCAGCTAAAAGACTGATTTTTTTGTGCCTTGAAACCACTTCCTTTAAATTCGGATTTATATACATATATAGCGAAAGTTAATTTTGTTATTCTACCTTTCACGGATTAGGACCCCTGGCGCGTTCCCATTCAAGATTAATCTGAAACTATGAATCTTAAAAAAATAGTTTTTTTATTTTTAGTGGGTGGGCCTAAGTCCCTTGTACTGCCGCCACTTCTGTCCTATTGTACCACCCCAAGATGATAGGTGAGGGTGATTGTGGAGCAATTGGTGGAATGGAGAATGGCAGGGGAACCGAAGTACTCGGAGAGAACCAGCCCCAGCGCCACTAGGTCCACTACAAATCCCACTTGACCAGATCGAACCCGGGCCGCCGCGGTGGGAAGCCAGCGACTAACCGCTTGAGCTATGACGCGGCTCTTACAAATAGTTAATAGGAACTATTTGACAAGGGATCTGTTCGTCTCAACCTACTAACAATATAGGACATACAAATACAGAAATAAACGCAGATGTACATCAATCTCTCGAATGGGATTCGAACATACGATACCAGTGTTGGAGCGGGCGAAGATGTCGTACCTTGGACTGCGCGGTTCCTTTGAAATGAAAATTAATATTGGTATACATTATGTTAAGGAGAACAACCCCCACAAACATTTAGAGAATTAATGTTGTTCCCTTCTTACGAATTATAATTAATTAAAAGAAAATTTGTTGCAAGAGAAGATCGTGTCAAGCATTCTTAATGTTATGGTATCAAAGACGAGAAGAGAAATCCCACAAACACATTCTCTTCAGGTGTGAATTTTCGAAACTTCGAAACCAAGAGATTGGGACTTCTTTGATATAAAGTATAGTCGAAAGGCACATTAAGATTACTGCCCAACTTAGAGATAATGAAATGCTTTCAAAATAAGTGTCTTTTCAGTCGTTGCAAAAAAAATCCTTACGTTTTATACAAAAATATAACTCCACTTTCTTAATGAACCACGTCACAATGAAAGAATCAGTTTACCCATTTCAGAAGATTGCGAAACATGGAAGGTAACTTCCATTCCTCCCCCCCCCCTCCTCCTCCTCGACACAGCGGAATATGTCGCGATGCTGTACAGTCTACAAGTAGAATAGCAATATGTCGTAGATTGAAACTGTCTTTTAAAGTACTGCAGTCGTCATCTCAAAGGAACCATTTATGTTTAGTTCTGTTTAAAAGAAATGCATTAAATAACGTCACTGGGCAAAAGCGGTCAGTAGATGCAGTAGACTATGTATGACACAGAGTCAGAATTGGAAACATATGAATAAACCGAGAAATTAAATAAATAAAGCTAATTTGTTGCAGAATTTGGAAATAATTCAAGATTATAGATTTCTGAAATTCATCCTGGATTATCAACCAAAAGGGAACAGGAACTGGGAAGACGTAGTGAGAGGTGGAAACACGCCCGACTGCCTTCAAGCCTATAATGATGGTGGCGTTAATATGTATAAATATTAGTCCACCGATCTAGATGGCTGAAGTTGAAATTCCACTTATGTTATCTATTCAAACTTTTACCGGGACACTGATTGTCATGACTGAGGTTATCCGCAGTTTTCCTCGGACCCTGTAGGCAAATGCTGGGAGAGTACTTCAAACTTGGCGAAGACGCTTCGTTTCATGTTCGTTACAAATGCATGATCTATTAATGAATATTAAATTCTAAGCTATTCAGTCAGAGTTACTGATCGGAACACAAAATATTGTGGCGCATGAACCCGTTGCTGGGCAGAGACCTCAAAAAGTACAAGTAAAGCCGTTGTTACGCAATACGCGGATAAACGAACTCAACGGTCGAGGCATTTTTGGAGTATAACAATGAAAACGGTGTTTTCTATGTGGTCCGTGCCGAAACCTCATAAGCATTACAGTTTGAAACAACGAGTTATACTCGTGTGAAGGAGGGGTCGAATACCTCCACCGTGACCCTGCGAGTAGTCGGAGGTGACGAAAAGTCTCGAATCTGAGACAGTAAAATATGGTCGCGAGTCCCAAGCGACTCGGACCCGAGAAAGGCTATATTTGCGAGGGCCAGCAGCGTATACAAAAGACAGGCCCGTCCCCTCGTCAGAGAGGGTATCCCACAAAAACAAGATCGTTACTATCAAGCAGTAATAAATATCTGGTGGGGCTCGACATCAGAACTTACTGATTGACTGACCGTCAGTTGCAATGTGACTTTGATTTTGACTTTGACTTTGCAACGAGTTAGTTTTGCGGGAGAGCTGTCAGCAGTTCAGTAGAGTGAAGCGACGTGAAGTAGCTGGCTGATGAATGAGCGTCCAACAATACTTGTATTTTTGCATGTGTATACGTTTCCGCTTGAACGTGTTTACTAAGCCGTTGCCGAGCTACGATATGAGGCGGGTGATATCAGGTAGACAGCAAGGGTATAGCTTAATGTACTTTTTTCTCAAAAGGTAGGCTAAATTATTCCTTCTTATTTTCGGCTAATGTCATATATAAAATTGACGAAATAAGGGGGGATATGGCTGTCTGCTGCTTTGTATGCCTGTCCACATAATTTGGATCCCAAGTTACTCTATCGTCTTCACTGAAATCTGGCGGTCCAGAAGGTCCGGAAATTATGAAGTTCCTGGGCCGTACTCCAAATTAGGTGATATAAGGGGCTTTATATACATATTATTCCATGAAAACTGTAAATGTTCAATTTATACGTGCGCACTTAGGAAATAAGGAAAAATTTAAACCAAACAAACAAAAAATCCCAAAAATTTTCTTTTTCTTTTCTTTGTAATATCTGGGCATTGATATATCTACCTAGGCATTTCTATATTAGCTTTGGCTGACGATATTTTTCTGAGTTCTGGTGAAGAGACATGAACATCTTATTTTTGTACCTTTACGTGTAGACCAATTTTCAGCTCTTGAGATTATCTTTTAGTAAATCGTTTCTGCAAGAGTCTTACAAATGTATATCAGTATTGACTTTTTATTTACCAAGATTTGGGTAGTAGAAAGGTGAGCAGCCACATAAGTGTATGGAGAAGTTCTGTCGACACTCGGAGTAGCAGTTACTGTAGGAATACCGCTGAAGGCTCCTCAAGATGCGCTCCTCCCACAGCAAGCATTGGCGACCCTGCAGGCTGCTCTCTCTCACGTCCGCTGTGGTCTGGAACACCTCAGGGTACACAGATACCAGCGTCATTCTGCCTGTACTCAGCATTACCTCGTCAGTGTTGTCACCAGGATAGTCGTACGGGCTGTGCACCAGAACCTATCACCATTTCGTTCTGCGTTGTTATCAGCTGATGGACCCGTTCACTTGTTAAACAACATTACTCTCCGAATCTTGCATAGGGTTTCTAAGCGGTTTCTTCCTTTCAGGATTTCCTACTTACTCTCTTACTTACAGGAGCTGTTTCAAGGAAATAGCGGCTCCGATCTGGAAAACCGAGACTAATGGTCGTGGGATTCCTTTACGCTGACCACGTGACACCCTCTATCGGCAAAAGTTTGCACTGACTTCGCCGACAAGCGGTGTTGCCTTGGTCAGTATAGTTCGCTTCCGGACTACAGACCACGGAGTTTTTTGTTTGTTTTTATTATCATATGAACGAAATAAGTTTTTATCCTAGTATTCAAGCGATCTGTTGTGGATAGTTTCTTCATATTAAAAGACAGGAAAAACGGGTTCAAATCTCGTGCTCGTAACAACATTTTTCGCTTTTCATTTATGTCATTCTGCAACAAAAGAGGAATTGCTACTAACTGAATGTTTCCCCCACAATTAATGTTCCTTTCTTCAGTAAGAAGCTGGATGAGGTCAAAGTCGAAACGACGCTGCAGTTCGTCTTCCGAACTTAAGTCATTCAGTGAGAGAGAACTAAGCTGTGAACTCTTAGCTGTCTACTTCCGGAAATGCCGAAGGTAGTTATTGATTTTGCAAAACATGTCACAAGGTTCGCCAATATTGCTATCGCAAAAATAATGGATACCGGAAGTACGAGAAAGTAGAGTGCTGATGTTTAAAAGAGTAAAAAAAGTAAAGGTATCCCTGTAACAGGCCGTGGAGGCCCATAGTTGTTGTGAGACGTTGAGGTTCCCACATTTTCTAGACAATCGGCTCATAGATGGCGACAAGGTTGTCAGCCTTACGTGCTGACCGCCCTTTACCCCCAAGAATATTCCTAATGCTCATTTCTGTTAGAGACTGAGTCGAGCCCAGGACCATAGTGCCGCTGGAAGGATTAGGTCAATTGAAAAAATCCAGTAACCTCATCGGGATTCGATCCCGCGGCCTTCCTTCTTTTAGCGTAGTTCCTCAACCAGCTACGTTTAACACAGTAAATTTAAGGAAACTTCTTACTGGGCGTTAGTCAATCCGAACCCTAGTTTCGAAAATAAGATTAACTGCAATATTAGATACAGAATACACAAATTTGCGTTGCCGTGAATCACAGTCACCTAAACCGTATGTAAACAACAAGAAGTGCGTATGAGGAACACGTGTTCTTATATTCGTCAGTATCTTTCGAGAAACGGATCAGGCCATGGAGGCCCATACGTCTCTGAGACGTCGAGGCTCACAGATGGCGGTGAGGTTGTCAGTCTTACACGCCGGCCTCCCTTTCCCCCCAAGAAGATTCCTGGTACTCATTTCTATCAGAGTCTGAGTCAACCCCATGGCCATAGTGCGGCTGGTAGGATTAGGTCACTTTAAATTCCAGTAACCTCATCTGGAATCGAAACCGCGACCTTCCGACTTGTAGCATAGTTCCTCAACCAACTGCGCTACCACATGCCCCCCTTCCCGAGAAAGGAATAGTAGATTTTAGATTAGAAACTGACTTGATTCAGGCTTAAGTTCATCAATTTCTTTAAATCCAGTAGGGAATATAACGGACAAAAATACCCTTTGTTGAGTATTATGTCCAAGGTATTGAACACTGAACTGAAATATTATTGACATGTTTTATGTCTTTGAAAAGATTGCTCAGATCCTTGTGTTTGCATTTTTAACGCATATGGGTGAGGTTCAATCTTGTAAAATCAGAACCGATTCTACAGTTCATTTACTTTTATCTCTTTTGAACACATTTTGTCTAACTAGGCAGAGTGCTCGAGAGACCACATTCGAGGCCACTCTTATAAAGAGTATCTTAACTTACACAGACAAGGATTTTGGTGCACGAGAAATTCAATTCCACTATGGGATTAGCATGAGTTTAAGGACGTACTTATTTTGCGAGCCCTGCTAGTTACGTTTTAGAAACAAATGCACACAGACGAAGGAATGGTTTGGTGTTACAGGCAATTGCTGGCAGACATTACATGTTTGCATGTTAGATGTTTGAAACAACAATAAAAACGTGCAAGGGATAGGATTCGCTATACAAAGCCTTACCTATCATTACGTCAAACTGACAGCGTAGTGACCGCGTTTTCGTAAGCGATATTCTGGACATGGAATCATGGTAGTATTATCTTTTTACGTGGTGTGGATGAAATCCTGCACCGCTATAATGTAGATTAAGTTAAATCGATATTTTGTTTAAATCCTGGTGAGCTGGCAGTCATCTAGAAATTTCCAGGGAGTTTTGTATACTTAAGCCCATCAGTGTATATGTGTTATTAAACTTCGTCGGATAGTTAATTATTTTATGACATTTCAGATGGTGGGTGACAAGGACCTATTCGAGATCTTATGTGCTTCAAGAATTTATAAATTGGAAGATGCGGGAAGAACATGTAGATAGAATAGTCAAAGGTCGGTTTGGCGTATATAGTGCAATTGCCGTCCTAAAGAGTGAAGAAAATAGAGCAGGTTACTTGGATAATTAAAAAAACAAGATTTTAAGGCTGTTCTGTTTTAAATTTCTTAAACCGCGAAGGAAAAAGAAGAGCAGAGTAATTCCCAGCAAATGTAAACGTAATCAAACGTAATCCCAAGATGACTGTGGAACAGCACAAGATGTGTAAGAAATGTACAACTTAAAAGTTCAGCTCTTACGATCTAGAAATATAAGAAATTTTACGGACCGGGTAACCCCATCAGTGATACGATGTATGAATTAAGCTGCGTAACGTCGATCATAACATCTACTGAATTCTAAAATAATTTACACGTGAATTAGGAAATATGCTTCAATTCAGTAAACCTCAAACCAGTCCAGAAATTTTAGAGTGATCAAATTAATTGAATAAGAATTTTCAGTTGTGGTAGATGTCAACTAATTAAATACAATTAAAAATCTCTGACAATTAGATCCATAAATTTAACACAGCTGTACTACTGGAAGACATTCACAGTCAATAAATCCATCTTTAATCCTCAGCACTTGTTTCTTCAAGATCGATCATAATATTAAGGATATTGTCACGCGTTAGGGACTAGAGACGAGGTTTGGTTAGTTAATTGGATTTATTAAATATTTGCAACTCTTAAATACAAGTAATTACAAAGCTCTCTTTAATTCATGCACTCGACTTCTCACTACAGCACATACTAACTCTATTCGTTGCTAGACTATGGCTCCTTCTCTAATCTACACACTTTAAAATTCACTACAACACGCCAGTAACAACAGTTCGCTTTGAATTCACATATCCGTTGCTCGGTAGCGGCTCTTGACAAAGCAGATTCCCTTTACTGCTTCTGTGCTCAACGGCTCCTCTCCTCGCTCGCTGGCGACTCCCTCACAATAGCCCTATCTTAGTCAGAGTTACTTTAGGACTAGCGGTTTACTGCCAATCAGGTCGTCTTGGCGTCAGGCCTTTTGAATCTCATTACCAGTTTTTCTTTGGAACATCTGAACATTTACGGTCATAGTCCTTGCGCAGTTTCTTCTCTAACCAGAGGATGTGTTTGTCTTTCAAAAATATGCTTTCCCTCTCGCAAGTGTAGGCATCACACATAATAGCAAGTTATTGAGAATGATCCCCTTTACAAGATATACTGTCACGTGTAGGGGGCACGCGTGATGAAAGCGATGGGCTGTAGATCAGACGATTGGATTTATTGGCACTTCGGTTACAAATTCTCTTAATCACACTCAGTTATAACGCTATGGCTATTCTACACACATTCAGTTCACCGTTGCACATGCACTAGGATTCTCCTTCATTAGTAGTCTCCTGGCAACGGATCTCAACACAGAAAATTGCACTTCAAATCACTATGAAGTCTTCCTGTTATATCTTCTTCAATCACTCAGAACTCCTATGTCCTAATCTGTACTCAACTTTAATCTTCACAGTTCACTAAGGACATATTATATTCTCGTCCTTGTCCTTACAATATCTTCACTTCCTGGAGGTCACTTTCCTGGGTCGTTGATTTTGTTCACTACACCACTTCGTGCTGCATGTGCACTCACCTTCAGGACCATCTTCAGTTTCTTCCTTGTCACTGTGTACTTGCCATAACAAGCAAAAGAAGAAGCTTCCCATCAAGTTGTTTGCAAAGGTTTCTGCTATTCTCTGCGCTCTTCACAATAGAAATCTACTCAGAGGGCTTTCCCCATTTCAGCCGGTGTGCATCTGGCAGGGTTCTCAGAGTCACTGAGTATTTCATATACTTGTTGCACTACAGAAGCTGCCTCGATTTCAGCTATGCTTGCTTGTATGTCCAGTATTTACGGAATCCCAGTACTGGGACGGCTGCGAGCTTGCTGTATAAGCAAGTTCATTGCTTGTTTTGTTATTTTGCACAGCACTGCGCACCCACATGGCCGGGTGGCGAATTTTATCGACACCACCTACGCCAAATGGGAGTTGGCCCTGGATACGCCTACCTAAAGTGAAATCCATAAAAACCACTCCATCCAACACACGTTTCGTCCAAATCACTAAGTCCCATCAAGACCTGCTCACTCACTCACTCACTCACTCACTCACTCACTCACTCACTCACTCACTCACTCACTCACTCACTCACTCACTCACTCACTCACTCACTCACTCTCTCTCTCTCTCTCTCTCTCTCTCTCTCTCTCTCTCTCTCTCTCTCTCTCTCTCTCTCTCTCTCTCTCTCTCTCTCTCTCTCTCTCTCTCTCTCTCTCTCTCTCTCTCTCTCTCTCTCTCTCTCTCTCTCTCTCTCTCTCTCTCTCTCTCTCTCTCTCTCTCTCTCTCTCTCTCTCTCTCTCTCTCTCTCTCTCTCTCTCTCTCTCTCTCTCTCTCTCTCTCTCTCTCTCTCTCTCTCTCTCTCTCTCTCTCTCTCTCTCTCTCTCTCTCTCTCTCTCTCTCTCTCTCTCTCTCTCTCTCTCTCTCTCTCTC